CGCGCATAAACCGACATGTCTGAGCATGTTTGGTCATTACGCTCTCGTTGCCCAAACCGGAAATTTTTGGACCACTTAAAGGCATCTACTTGTGATAAACATTATATTTATGCATCGTACATCCAAATATCTACAAAAGCTCATAACGCATCGATTGCAGTAATCTCATTACACACCTTGATGTGCTTTTCATATGCTGAATATGTGATGTCCGCCGATGCACAGTTTGTGCTTGGCAGTTTGTATGAATTGAGAAGTTGAATTGCTGATTTTAACAGTGTTATCGGAGTGACACTAGCAAGTGATTTTTAGCAACGGCTTGCCCGGCTGCATATAAATGCACACTATTCAAACAGTTCAGCCTCGGAGCTATTTAAGAATGCGCTTTGGAAGACCGACTCGTTACAAATCGTTTGCTTGTTGTTGCAAATGTTGACGAAGCTCCTGTCCTTCATCTGGTTACCTCGAACTGATCAAAGCTGTCGGAACGAGCTGTTTGATAAACAGAAAAGGATTCCTTACATTTCCGTTGTTTCCTTTCCTGTTGAGTTGCAAAAATGCTCCGACTTTGGACTAGAAGGAGGTTATGAACTCAAGGCCTGTACGTGCGTTTATTGCAAGCATTTGTGACAGGCTTTGCACCAGAAAAAGGATAAACGAAGAGAAACTCAACTCGCAACTTTATGTCCTGCGCCAGCTCCCTCAACGAACCCTCGACTCTGCCCCGAGCGTCCAGTCACAGAAAGTCCGACTGTCCGAAAAAGTGCGTCATGACATCCACAGGGTTATTGCCTTATGTAAGGAAGTTTGGATACCGCATCCTTCACGGGAATGAATGGGGCTCCATTTGAACATATTAAAGCAAACATCAGATAGGGTGAAATAAACTAACTTATAACTCTTGGCGTGCTTTGAGGTGAAAAAGACTGCTCAAGACAACAAAATTTCTCTAGTTGGTAAATGTGCTCCACACTGCGTCACTGTTTGTGTCATGGAACGCCTGTATGACAGCACTCACTCAATCTCCCGAGAGGAAGCCTCGGCAGTGCTGGATGTGTGCTGAACCAGACGTCGTTAGGTTCTCTTGTTTTGGTTCTTTCTTGTGGTGGTCTTGCATATTTGTCCGTGAGCTTAAGGTGGCAACTTGTGTTCACATGCTGGGCTACAGCGCCATTCTGAAGTTCTTCTATTACATATACTATTTCCACGCTAAGAATACTGTACAGCTGCTTGCATTATGAAACACAACAGGTGATTTGTGTTGAAAACTTGAATAGCTTGCACAACATGATTTGAGTGCCCATTGGCGGCCATCACACATGGAAACCGTGCTCACAAACGCCAAATATGAAAGACTCAATAATTATGCTTTTTGTCTTGAATGCCGCATGACCCATGAAATAGCAGCATTTGAAAAATATTGGCATCGCATCATAGACGCCTGGATGACCTTGAAATAGTCTGCACGAAATGGTCTGCTGATCTTTGTTGGCGTGGAGCTCAGATACTAGAGGCATCTAGAGGGTTTTAAGTCTTAAGAATGGCAGGCTGTGAACTGCGTAGAATGACCTGCAAGATGGGGGTTTTGGTTGAAACTTACGCAAAGGTGGATTGACCTTTGGAAAAGGTGGACTTTTCAAGGGATATTACACACCTGACGACTTAGAAGACATCACATGTGACGAAACAAGCCCACTTGCAAGCATTGGCTTGTTTTGAAGTGCAAAAGACGACTCCAGTCAACGAAATTTCACTATTTGGTAAGCAGCCTGCTCAGTACGACATCGTTTGATTGTGTCGCGGAACGTTGGTATATCAGAGTCGCTGTTGGATGGTTATGACAGATTTGCAACTGTATCGAACGGTCTGAATCACTGTAGTGCTTTAAGCTGCCAAGAGATGGCCCGTGTCCCGGCACTTCTAGCAAAACCCTAATATCGTTAGTGCGCGAGGTCTGGCCCTTTCTCGCGATGTTTTTATGTATTTGTACTCGATTTTATAGTGTTTACTTGCATTCACATGCCCGGTTATTCCGCTATTCTTAACTTGTTTGATTACCAGTCTCAGTTAAGCCATAACTAATACCGCTGCCCAAAGTCCTGTATGATATAGCACGCAACTAGATGTATCTTGGAAGCACGCATTCAACACATGAAATTGGTCGAGGGTCAAGTGATGACCGCTGATGCTCAGAATCGTGCTGACGTGCGCCAGACATGAATAATTTGGTGCCCGTCTTTGTTCTTGGCGTTGAGCACTGCATGACATTTGAGGTGGGAGCATTTGCGTGACGTTTGTATGCAGCCATGAATGTAAGGGTAACCTTGAAATGGTCTGCACGAGAAAGTGTGTATAAGGTCACGCGGTGTCAAGCTCAGAAACAGGAGGGTTTTAAGCCTTAACACGCGCTCGGGTTGAGGTCAACATGACCCCCCCCCCCAAGGGTTTTTCGAAATGGTTTCCGAACGGCGCAACGTAGCTGCGCCAAATTTTGCATAACTGTAGACGATTAAACAGCGGATCGTTTGGTATATAGTCTAACAGCATAGCTTGACAGACGTACGAGGGCGGGTTGAACACTCTGGCCTCCCCTCGTTTATTCTGGCTGCGGTTGATAATGTTGGGCTGATGATATTAGGATGAAAGTGTTAGATTGATAATGCTGGGTTAGGCATGTTAAGAAAATGGTTTTGGGTTATAAAATGGGTGTTTTTTCACAGCCAAATAGAAGATATGATTCTTCATACTTTCCTAGCGCGATAAAAAGTGAGATGCATCTCGAAGTTTGTCACCCATGTCACCTGCATTCACATCAACGCCATCACCACGTGGGCCGGCGCGGATGTACTGTTGAAGAAGCGTGCTGTTATTTAACTTTTCACAAATGATTGAGTTCCTCCCGTCGACATCCATCGAAGACAACCAAATCGCGCATGCTTTGTAAAGCGTTGAGTGGAGAGGATGAGAAAATATGACAGCGAGAATATAAGTCTGCGTGTCACTCAGCGTATGAGGAAGTGCGCGGCGGTGACGGACGAGAATAGCCAACAACCTGTCGACGAATCAATTCATAGAAATTGTTGAATCAAGTACAAATACGATGCGGCGAATTGGGAAGTTCTAAAGGAAGGGCTGGTCACGACATTCATGTTCTCTCGTGCGACCTGCGCCGGTTGAGTGTCGTGAAGACTGACTGAAAAGGTACAGGCTGGATATTTCCGGTTTTCACAAGTATTCTCAGGCCATGTGGAAAACGAAGCTGAAGATTTTTAGACGAGGAGTGTGGCCGGTGATCAGACGGAAATTGCATGCAGAAATACAAAAACATATCACGCTCAATCAAGCCGTAACCCAAACATGCCATCATGATTTATGCCGACTGAAAAATATCAGATTGTAAGCTTCAGCGGAGAAAGTCATGCCGGTTGAATTGGAATTGCCAAGGCTTCTTCTTGGAGAAGAGTGATGACGTGACCTCTGGGCGCTACATGCAGCATCAAACAAAATTGAAATAATTGTGCCAGAAGGAAAGGGGGAACTCCCGTGTGAAAACCACCCAGCACGACAGCGCCAGATGAAACACCAAATGAGACGCAGCTGCCGCTCCACAACAGCCATGTTCTCCCCGCTACTGCGTCCTTGGTGATTCCGTGACATCGCTCCAACCGACTGTCATTTGTTTCCGACCTGGAACACTATCAGGATGGCGAACAAGTGTATCTCTGATGAAGAGGCAAATTTAGCAGGACGCCAGTGTAGATAACAATCGCACCCTGGCTTCCCTGCTGACGGCCTCTGCAAATTCGAGATCAGGGATGTATTGCAGCTGAAGAGGACTAGGCTGAGAAACAAGTTCGTATGGATACTGATCAATAATTTGCTCAGCGTCTTTCCTATTCTTCTTTCAAAACAATCCGTCGGCTCATTCGGATTTTATTGAAATAGAGGCAGAGGCCAGCAGTCGGCGCTCCTACACCACGTGCCCATTTAGCCGGCAGCTCGACCTTGCTCTGTTCGCCTCCGGTTCGGTGGGCCGTGGCTTTGGGCCAGCCGCCTGCTCCGAAACGTGAACCTCAACAGTGCAACGACATTTGGCCTCGGTTCTTCTAGCGTAGGGTATGCTTTGCATATAGGCAGGGGCGTAGTTTCGCCAAACGAGATTGGGAGAAAGACATTGCAAAATGACGAAACATGCACTAAAAAAAGCCAATGATTTTTCCATTTTTCAATTTTTCCACGGGTTTGGTCCACGCCCATCTTAACGTTTGGGGCGGATGGCGTCCAAGTTGGGCCCGTAGGCCTAATATCCCAGCTGAATGGGAAGCCATCCGACGGTCAAATATATTATATCCACTTTGGCATGATTAAGATGAGCTATAATTACTGCGGATGGAACAATATTCGGGCTGTGGTCCTCGTATTGGTGTGTTACTGTAAGCATGGCAACACGCCAGTCGGGAGCAATAGCTAGCACAATTATTTAATTTGTGGTGATAACATTGACTTGTGTAAAGCCGGGGACGTTCATCTGGATTTCCTCCACGTTTCTAACGGCGCCTGCCCACCCGAAGCACGCTCTTCCCATCGCCTCATAGTTCACCTGACGCAGTCTTCCAGGCGACACGTCGCCCACGCGCCGGTGGCTTCAATAGGCACTCGGGGAATTGCGTGGCGTTTTCCGGCGGTCTCCACAGAGCCACGTCATTCCAGCCAGACACCGAAGATGATGCAGTCCTCAGCGAACTGTGCCGTGCCGAAAACGTCCATCTTCTCTTTATTACTTTCGGTACCCGTGCTGCATCGTCTGCCCGTCCCCCGCCTGCCGTGCGCCGCGCCCGCCCGTGGGAGTTTCGCGTCGCCTTCGGCCTCCCCCCCCCCCCCCCCCGCTCAGCGGTGACGCACGCATGCCTCCGGCGCCGTAAACGGCGGGGAACGCCGCTACGGTGTCGCCATCTGTGAAACCCTAAGCAAACTAGCCACCGGCAGTCGGAGCCCGGCAGCGGGCTGAAGCGGGGAGGGTGTGCGCGCCGCGCCTCACGACCTTCGCAGGGCTTTTCTGAAGCTCGGCACGTGCAGATCAGCGCCCAGTGGTCGTAAGGGACGTCAGTAACAGAGCCAGCGACACCATGGACAACGCAGTGGTGCGAAGAATCGTGAGCATTGCGAGGAAGAAAGCTGTTAAGTGGTCGCCGAACGGCCATGGGCAGGCGGCACGGACCAGAAACGGTGAGAGTGCGGCGGAATCATACGGGCCGGCGGCGGGTCGACGTGGCTTGTGAGCGCGGTATCTGGTTGTCTGACCGGCGGCCTGGTGGGCTGCGCTGGGTCTGACTGCGGTTAACTGCGGCAAATCGAAAGTGGTGGGGGTGTGTTGTGCGACCGTGCGGATATATAAAGCAGGAAGAGACGCGGTTTTTAAGAAGAGCTGGAAGCTGCTGCCAACGCGACGAACTTGAGGTAATTGCGATGACAAATCGTTGGGCTCATTCCATGTATTTGCTACTGATGTTCTCTCGTCCACATCATGGATGGGAACGGAGAGCATTAAGCATTAGGCTGCCTTATTCCCATCAACCCCCGTAGGATCTATATCGTCATGTTCTGCCAGTCTGGCAGGGGGGGGGGGGGGGACTTGGCTCCCGCTCAGTGTGTAAAGCTCTGGCTCATTGTCGGAAGAACGGCGCGACGCCTTGTGTTTTTATTCCCTCCACCCGGCTACCCAGAAAACACGTGTGGCCGAGGTTATCAGGCGCACTCACGTCTGTAAGCAGATGGCTCGGCGATAAGTGAGGACATCGAACTGCGGCGATTGTTGTGCCATTCTCGCCTGGAATTAGCAGGTCGCGGTTATATCGACTTGGTGTGCCACGCCCTGTGTCGAAGAATATCACACCATGGGCTCATTATCGCTGATGTAGGTATGCCAGCATCCTGTACAGTCACTGCAGCCGTGCTACCACGCCTGCGACATCTGCTGTTGCGGTGCAGCTGCCATGCTTGCGATAGATTCGTTGTTCTCAGGTAAACGACCCCAGATTTCGAAGTAACGTGCTGTAACCTTGCTTCCATGGGTGCATATTCTTTTCTTCTTTTAGGTGCCGAACCCATGGACCGCTATACTGTGACGTTTCAGGCATTTGTTGTAAAAAGCATGTGGTTGAAATGTTAAGCGAATTAATTGAAAGTGAGCGGTAAGCATGCTTATGCTGTCAATATGATTGAATTGAGAACTTCTGAGAACTTCTGAATTGAGAACGTCTTATCTAGTGGCCATTGTAACGGCTCAAACCAATACTTCAGTATATACGTTACTGAGCGGCATTGTCAACCAAATGAACTTTGTCTGGGTCCATGTGCCGGATTATTGGATTCGGCGTTACTTCATGTTATTTGTGCGAGGTGCGCCCGAAATTAAAACTCAGCCGTTGTTGGGCGCTTGTCATGTCCGACATATAAAGACTTCACAGCAACTGATACTGAGCAAAGGTCAGTTACTGCAGACCTGTCGCGGCCGTAATTCCCAGCAGGGGAATCCAGATCAAGAGACATTTGCACAGCAGTTTTGGCCCGAGTTCTGTCAAGCCATGCTCTCACCCATGGGTTGCGTCGCCAGGCGCTATTCATCTGCGGCACGGGCGCGGACTGACACGGTGACCAGGGCGTTGCAGCCTTTCTGTATTGGTGGGCTTAGTCGTTGTGTGTTGACATGGATGCGACTAAACCACACGAAGGCTCCATTTAGCCCAGGCCGTCTCGAGAATACACATACCGTTCCGCTGGTATCTAGGCAATAGGGCGGGCGCTTGTCCGGCGTATTTTTCTAGTCTTGCAAATTGTTCCACTCTGGTCGGTTTATATGTGCTGTCATCGCAAGAAATATTGTCTGATGTTTGAGGTTCCCCGTGAAATGAAAGTCTGAGGACAGAGACGGGAAATTTGAGTAAGAATTTCAGTTGCTTGGTAGTCATGGAAATGTTATGTCTAATGCTGGCGTTGCGGCAAAGTGGTGTAAGGTCAGGTGTAGGTGCAATATCATAAAATCACAAAATGTTCTCAGTCAAGTTAGAAGTCTTCAAGCCGTGAAGTAATAACAATCCCTCTTGCCTGAAAGGGCCGTTCTATCACCGCGGCGTGTGTATCCAATGTTTTGCGTACACATGTGACCCTGCATAGTTCGCGAATGATCTGACTGTCCTCTGATGCCTGTCCTCTTTTCCTGCAGCTCAACTGGTCAAATGTCGCACATTCGGTCTAAGTGCCACAGACATCTGAGAACAAGTTATACGACAAACGGCGTGTACGATGAAACGCGGTACGAAATGTTGTATAAACGAATAAAGGCGGATTTACAAGTTAGACAGGCGTTGCCGAAAGGCGAATTCGACGAAACGTGTTGCGGAGCGTTGCTTAGAGTTACTTTTGTTTTAGTGGGACTTAATCAATGTTTTCAGTTCCTGAGACTGTATCTTGGCGCCTGCCGCTCACCCGGGCCGGAAGGGCGAGCACAGAGGAGAATCGAACCCCGCACCTCAAGTTTCTGACACGCAGCTTAACCATTGCACTGCCGAAGCCCGGAACATTATTTAGAGGAAGTATTGTAATGTGAATGATCGTGTTTACGAATTATGGTATCTGTGAGGAGAAGCTATACGAAGGAATACGTATACGGCGTTTTTCGGATCAGACGCTTGGCGTTGAAATGTTTTCTTAAAAACTTGTGCCCACGAGGGTTTGCGCTTATCAACTTGTGCGTGCGTTTGGAAGAAAGGCGGCACAAATTACTGTCCTGGAAACTATTTTGAGGTACTTTGCACCGACTAGAGGCTGTCCATGAAGCTTGAAGACCCGCCGAGGAGTATGGCGCGTGGTTCCCCGTGTGGAACGGCCTTACCAACTAGCACATGCCTCCCGCTCTGATCAGTGTGCATCACCTGTCAGACACCTTGGCTGAGAGGCATCCAGGAGTTTCGTGATTTCAGGAATATTGTCTAAAGTTAACCACCCCGTCCAGGTCTGCATGTCTCCATCAAGCGTGTAATCATTATCCACTGGAAAGACCAGGGAGTCCGCGTCCACGTCTGCCAAGGAGCCTGAATCGAGTGGCAGCCGCGCCCCTCGGCTCAACCGCGCATGCACGGGTCGCCCGAATCAGCAGGGCACGTCTGTCTGTCCTTGCGCGGCTGAAGCGCTGGCGACGGCTGAGCCAGGGACGGACGGTGCTACCTCGCATTCCCCTTACCGTGTGTGCGCTGGCGACGGCTGAGCCAGGGACGGACGGTGCTACCTCGCATTCCCCTCACCGTGTGTGCGCTGGCGACGGCTGAGCGAGGGACGGACGGTGCTACCTCGCATTCCCCTCACCGTGTGTGCGCTGGCGACGTCTGAGCGGGGGATGGACGGTGCTACCTCGAATTCCCCTCACCGTGTGTGCGCTGGCGACGGCTGAGCCAGGGACGGACGGTGCTACCTCGAATTCCCCTCACTGTGTGTGCGCTGGCGACGACTGAGCGGGGGATGGACCGTGCTATCTCGCATTCCCCTCCTCGTGTATGCGCTGGCGACGGCTGAGCGGGGGATGGACGGTGCTACCTCGCGTTCCCCTCCTCGTGTGTGCGCTGGCGACGACTGAGCGGGGGATGGACCGTGCCACCTCGCATTCCCCTCCTCGTGTGTGCGGTGGCGTGTGCGTACGATATGCGTACAATCGCCGTGTGACCCCGGCAACTCGCCTAAACTTTCTGCTGCTCTGAGGAGTATTGGAACAACCAACAAGCGGATTCGATGGAAGTGTTTGCGAAATGGCCTGCCATCGTATAGGGATGCCTTGTTTGATGTTGCTGATCTTTTTTCGAAGGTGCTAATCTTATCGCTGAGGTGCTCATCTTATCGTTATCATGGGAACAAAGCAAAGTTTAACTCAAAGTCAGTGCGCGCAGTCGCCTCACAATCAATCCGACTAAAACATATAGCTAAGTCGTTAAGTCTCAACGACCTCACTCAGAAAACGTCTTTGAGATATGCTTGCGCAAGCAAACACACGTTAGCCTCAAGTGTCCATGAATATTCCTGGAATCATTGCACATTCCAATCCAAACCGGACTGGTGCGTCAAGTATTGCCACTGTGAGGGTTGTTATGTTGTTTAAGTTCACCTAGCAGACTCTCGGCTTAACTTCCTTTCAAAATTAAAAGGTGGGGTGAGGTGAGGGTGACTTGTTCACCCTTACACTATGCACGAACTCCCGCTTTTGGCCATTTGCTCCCAAGCAACCGCCCAAACGAAGAAAATAGTGCAAAAGTGATAGCTATTGATACCAAAATGATCACCGGAACTGCGAGAGCAGCGAATATCTCACCTGTTTTGGACACCTGGTCTGCTGGAGACTGACAGACTGACAGACGTGACTTGTTGGTATCGAATCAACCGCTAGATCACCACGCGCGCCAGAAAATTGGCGCGCACTTGTAATGGCGCGGGCGGAAACAGCGACTTTCAGTTTTTACCGGCCAGAAATGTTCAGGGGATTAAACAAGAAGCAATTGCCAGCACTTGCCGGAATGGGTATCTCAGTATTGAAATTAATAATGCGTGCAAAAATGCGGTGCATGTGAAAGAATTCAGGTACACATGCGTCACGCATAAACCATCACTCATACCTGTAAATGATTTCAAGTAAACGAGTATCACTTGTGCATGCACCCCGATACACCGATATGACGCGCTGTGCGACGTGGAGCCAGAGAATGTGTTAGTTATGTGGAGTTGTCAGTTGTTATCATGTAGATGGTGCCACCAAGTAAGCTAATGGAGCCCTTGATCTTTGGGTTTTGATGCTTCTTTCGTGACAGCTAAGAAGCGAGCGCTAATCTACAAATAGCATTGAACACTGCCCTTTTATTAGATCGGTCTGGCTAGCAATTTTAATAAAAAGATCGATGACTGCAACAGTACACGGTCTTGTTATTTATGACCACCAAAGTGTTTCCAATAACGTAGGTGTTTTTGGTGGACGTCGGTCGCGATGGACATCGATGCATGCCTGTATAGTTTCTATGACCCAATCTCTCGGCTGAGAACGTAGGGTATCGGCCAATCCATGGCCTGCCGGTTTGATAGCATGTTTGATAGCCGACAACGGGCGGTTCCATGGTTTCTGCACGAAATGCGCCCACTGGTAGGCATACATCGACCAACCCTTTTGCCAACGCGATTGTGTGGGTTCTCTT